TCCCACAGACCTGCTGCTGGTCACTTCTGGGAGCCGCGTGGGCTACCATGCCGGGGGGGAGGAGCAGGAAGCTGCCTTAGCCCCTTGGCTGTGCCCCTGACCCGGAGCCGCTAGGGATGTCTGCACCCCAAACCCCAGAGCCTGACCCCCATGCCCTAGCCCAGAGCCCCTTTCCACACTAAGCCCCTCATTCCCAGCCCCACCCTGCAGCCCTCACCCCTGACCCCCCCTCCCAGCTCCCACATCCCTCATCCCCAGCACCGTTGGGTCACGAGCAGCAACTATTTTCTTCAACTGGGTTACCAGAAAAAAAGATTTGACAGACACCCACTGTCCTAGCTAATTCAGTGGCCAGCTGTGGTTAGAGAACCCCTGGGCCTCACTGCCCCCTGCAGCAGGGAGTTCCACAGGGGAACAGTAACACACTATTTCCTGTTCTGAGTTTTCAGTGCGCTGCTCTTCCCATGTACTGCACAGCCCATGGGCTGCCTGTCAGGAGCGCGGTGGGTCAAGGGGAGCAGCCCTGGTGCCTTATGCCACGCAGCAGTTCTACAGGTCTGTCTCGCTGGACACGCCTGCCTCGGCCAGTTTGTCCCTGGGGTAGCGACTACTCCGGCCGAGTCGCCAAATCCTGGTCTAGAAGGTCACTCGCTCCACTGCACAGGGCTTCATTCGCCTCCATGGCGCCGCCTCTGGCAGACCCAGTCTCTGGCCCAGTTCCCGCCAGGGCAGGCCCCAAGCCCCTTGAGCTCCTGGCAGCTGCCTGGGGGCCTTTCAGGGTGAAGCGGGCCCAGAACCCAGGTTCTTACCTGGCACGAGTCAACCCTGCCCTCCAGGAAGCCAGCGCAGATCATCCGCTCGGTGAGGGAGAAGTTGTAGAGAACGTTGCAGGTCTTCTGGTCGATGATGCCGACGGAGGCTTTCTGCAGGCTCGCGGAAGCCCCTTGAGCTCCTGGCAGCTGCCTGGGGGCCTTTCAGGGTGAAGCGGGCCCAGAACCCAGGTTCTTACCTGGCACGAGTCAACCCTGCCCTCCAGGAAGCCAGCGCAGATCATCCGCTCGGTGAGGGAGAAGTTGTAGAGAACGTTGCAGGTCTTCTGGTCGATGATGCCGACGGAGGCTTTCTGCAGGCTCGCGGGCTTGCTGACTGCGAGACACGGGGAGGGACGTGCCTCGCGTAGGCCGGCGGGCAGGTGCCCCAGGGGACCGGCCTCGGGGGCAGAGGAGGGGCAGGCGGCTGCCCGAGCTCGGTGGCTGTGTATGCGGGGGCTGAGGGCTGCCCTGGGGGTGCAGCAGGAGGCTGGCTGGGGGTCCCCTCTGTGTTCTCCTGGGGGACGCGCAA